GGAAGTGTCCCTATAAATCTAGCGTGCAGCTACTATATATGAATCCTTGCCTGGCTAGCTATTGGGTCCATTGTTCATGTCACATTCTGGGATTGACTTGACTTAGGAGAGTCTGGGATATGTGAGTGAGGAGATTTGGCTCAGCTTCAATTTCTTCTTGCTTTTTTTTAGAGACAGGGTTTCTCTGTGTAACAGCTTTGACTGTCTTGGAACTCTCTTTGTAGATCAGGCTGGCCTTGAACTCACAGAGATCTTGCCTGCCTCTGCCTCCGAAGTCCTGGAATTAAAGGTGCGCACCACCACTGCCTGGTCAGCTTCAATTTCTTAAAGCCAGGTAGACAAGCTCAAAGGCAGGAATTCAGATTTTGATGCTAGAAGAGACTGAGTTTGGGAGCTGAGAGTACATGCAAGTGGCAGAAAGCAACAAGACATTGGCGTATGTGCGCACCCCTTAGGGAGAGGGTGAGCCTCCCCCGGATGTTTTTGTGCTGTGTGTGGAGTGCTTGTGTGGATGTGTGCATTTATCTGTGTATTGCCTCGAAGGGACAGAGGCTAAGGTATGAAGTCTTTTCCCAGTGTCAGCCACAAGACTCAGAGTTTTTACTTGTTCTCTCATTAAATATCCCCACGGGGTAGTTACATCTCCAATTTACAGCAGCAAAGACAGGCACTGGTGAGGCTGAGAAATTATCCCAGGGCCTCACGGCAAATAAATGTGTGTGATTCCCAGGCCTGTGCCCTTCTTGCTTCTTATTCAAAGTTCTGAGTCTGACACAGGACTTCTTTGGAGGTCTGAAGGCTGTGAAGTCATTGCGGTCCTCCCAAAGGTGCTTTAGGTAATTCTGGAGTACCTAAGGAGAAGATCTTCACCAAAGCAGGTCCAAGGTCACTGCGCATAGGCTTGTCCAGAGTCCCTACAGCAAAAGACCATTCTTGTTCTATCTTTGCTGCTTCCCCTTTGTCACTGATCTTCTGAGAAGAAGGACTTTGTGTCAAAGTGGTCTTACATCACATAGGTGTAGACTACCTGTGAGGTATCTCCATCCTCCCAGTCAGACACCATGTTCCCTGGAACTCCTGCCTCTTTCTTATTTCCCATAGCTTGTGTCACCAAGAACTCCGGGACCCACTCTCTCCTCCATGTCCCCAGCAGCAGGTGTCCTCTCTCATGGACTCCCTTGTCTCTAGAGTTCCTTCCTAGAGAGGACAGAGGGAGAGGAGGCTGGAGTGGGAAGGGATGTGAGGGAGGAAGGCTTTGAGTGGCTGGGTCTCCTGTGACCTCTGTTCCTCTTTTTAGGGGATATGGGTATTGACAGCTGCCCCTGGGATGAACTGGCTCTCACTGGCATTGTTCCTCCATAACTCATCAGCCTGCGCTGTTTCAGCTCCATGGTGGATGTTTTGCACAAGCTCAGCCTGGCCATGGTCAATCTTCAGCTTCGTGGTGCAACTGGTGGGAGGCCTGAGCCCCTTTACCTCCTCAGTTTCCTAGCTAAGTCTTGGCCTACTGCCTGCCTCACCCTGCTGCTATTATCTTGCTAGGATTCAGGGTGGAAGGACCTAGATTCTAAATCTTTGTTTTTGTTTGTTTGTTTTGTTATTGTTTTATTTTAGCTTTTGGAGACAGGGTCTTTTTTTAACATTTATTTATTTATTATGTATACAGTATATGTTTGTATGCCCGCAGGCCAGAAGACGGCACCAGACTTCATTACAGATGGTTGTGAGCCACCATGTGGTTGCTGGGAATTGAACTCAGAACGTCTGGAAGAGCAGGCAGTGCTCTTATCCTCTGAGTCATCTCTCCAGCCCGAGACAGGGTCTTTCTGCATAGCCCTGGTTGTCCTGGAACTCATAATGTAGTTTAGGCTCATCTTGAACTCACAGAGATCCACTTGTCTCTATCTCCCAAATGTTGGGGTTAAAAATGTGCCCCACTATTCCTTGCTTGAATATCAATTCTTTCTCCTTCCTTCCTTTTTTTTTTTTTTTTTTTTTTTGGTTTTACGAGACAGGGTTTCTCTGTATTGTTTTGGAGGCTGTTGGTCCAGGCCGGTCATGAACTCACAGAGATCCGCCTGCCTCTGCCTCCCGAGTGCTGGGATTAAAGGCGTGCACCACCACCGCCCGGCCCTTCCTTTCTTTTTGAGTCAGGGTTTCTCTGTGTAACATTCCTGGCTGTCTCCTGGAACTCACTTTGTAGAACAGGTTGGCCTTGAAGTCATTGAGATCCTCCTGCTTCTGCTTCCCAAGTGCTGGAATTAAAGGTGTGCACCACCACCAACTGGCTCACCGGTCAATTCTTAAGTGACCCTGCCTATCAGTGTAGTTGTGTAACTGTCAGTGTTGGGCACAACAAGGGGATGAAAACCTGGGTGTGGTGGCGAAAACTTAAAATCCCATCACTCAGGAGGCAGAGGCAGGAGAATTGCTGAGAGTTCAAAGTCAGTCTGGGCTGCATAGTTCTAGTTCATTTTGGGCTACAGTGTAAGAAAGACTCAGTCTCCATTAACAACATCAACATGAGGGCCATTGAGACAGCACAGTAAGTGAAAGCACTTGCTGCCAAGCATGACGCCTCATACATTCATGGTGGGAAGAGAACCAACTTCCCCAAATTGTCTCTGAGCTCTACAGGTGTGCTGGAGTATGTAAACACACACACTTAAAATATTGCAAAGCAGCAAAAAGCTAACGAGACAAAAAAAGCAGAGCTTTAAGGGGATGGACCATCCTTTGAGTCCTGCCTGGTCCTTGGAATTTAGCAGCTTTGAGATACAAGTCGTATGACAGGTGTCTTGGATACCTCTTGGGTTAAAAATCCAAATCCTTAATGTGGCCTACAGGCCCTGCTTCCTTAGGGACCTACCTCTTTACCTCCTCTGCCTGGCTGCATTTCATTTCTTGACTTAGTTTTTGGAACATTCCAGATTCCTACCCTTCAGTACTTTTGTACCTGAGTTAGTCTTAAATAATCTGTCTCCTTCACTAAACCAATAATATCTCCCCATCCTTACTTCCTGAGAATTAACTCTCTTAAAAGGAAACGTTTCTTGACAACCAACATGCAGACACACACTCTCACACACACACACACTCTCACACACACACACATACACACTCACATACACACACTCACACACACTCTCACACACACATACACACATAACACACACACACACACACACACACACACACACACACACGCACGCACTGGATCCAGTTTGATTGCTTTGTCATTGTTCTTTCCCACAACTGTAATTAAGCCATTATCTGGGCAATAGATTTTTTTTCTGTAAGAATGTATTTATGCTAATCCATAAGAAATTGCCATTTTTGTGGGTTCTCAAATGTTGGATATTGACTATTGTATTTTCATTTAATTCAGCCTAGTAAATCCCATGTTTATTCCCTTGGTGTATTATTTCCTCTGCTTGCTACTGTGTCTTGCACACAGGAAGTACTCAGTTTCAGGTGAGTGAATGAAATCTGGATATCATTAATTTTAAAACTTAAGAACTCAGATACCTTGGTGTCTAGTAACTTCTTAAGTATTCTCAGACTCTACAAGCTTGCCTTTCTCTGGTGCATTCCTGACTCAGAGTTAGGATTACTTCCTACCACTCTAGCAGGATACCTGCAACTGTCATCACTTCCACTGTTCCAAGACTCCTGTGCCAAGACTTGGTGGTAATCAAGCTAGCTCTCCATCCTGCCATAGCTGGGGTGGAGATTGGTGAGGCTAGCTGCACTCAGCTTCAGCTGATCTGAGGCTTTCTCAGCATGCACATCCCTGTCAGTGGATCCGCTGTAATGAACTACCCCGCCCCCATCTGTGCTTGGACAGCTGAGCCATCTGCTCTTCTGGGGAAGGAAACCACTCTCTGCTCTTCACCATGTTGCTGCAAGTCTTACAGCAGAACTGTTTAAGTCCCAAGGAGTTCCGGCTTAGCAGGCGAGAGCAGCAAGCCCGTGTTGCCAAAGTCTATCAATCAGCTCCGCCCGACTCCTTACCACCCTCCTGCCCCTTTCACTGAGTTTGCCTTCGAGTGATAAATTCAGTAAATTCCTCCTTCCCTTTTTGATAAATTACCCTTTCATTGGTCCCTTATTCCTTCCTTAACTTGTCTTTATGTTTTAAAAGTAACACATGTTCATGAAAGTAAATTCAGAGCAGCAGAGAAAAATGTAAGACACCGAGTGAAGGTCCCTCAGTGGTAGCCAGGGTTTGTAGTTTATGTGTGTGCATGCATCATCGCAGATGTTTGCCATTTCAATTGCACAGGAGCAGTTTTTATCAGAAAGCCACAGACGGCATAGCACCACAAGACTCTTCTGTAATTTGCTTTCATTCTATCTTGTGCAACTCCCCACATCTACGCATGCAGCCCTTGTTCTTTTTATTACATGCTATTAATATTTTACTCAATCAGCCCCCATCTATGGACATTTGCTTCCATTAATTTACTGTTATAAACAATACTGCATGAATGTCCTTGCTCACAAACCTCTGCATATCTGTAACTTTATAGAGTGAGTCCCTGGCATTGAAATTGCTGTGTCACAGAGTGTGTGTGCGATTTCACAGTGTGTGTGTGTGCAATTTAATTGTTTAATCATATCACTATCCTGTCTCCAAAAAAAAAAAAACCAAAACCTCACTCATGCTCACACCCCCACCAACAGTATGCAGCAGTCCCTGCATTGCCGTACCCTCACTAGCTCTAGGTGATGTCACCTTCCTTCTTCAATCTGTACTTGTCTCAGTGCTGTGCTAACTTTCTGTTGCTGTATCAAGTACCTGGGGCTGGAGAGAGAACTGAATGGCAGAGGGCACACTTGCCTGTGATGCACAAGGGTCTTGGTTCCATCCCAGGGACAGCAAACAAGGCAGAAATAAACAAAAATCTCAACTATTTGAGATAATTAGCTTATAAAAACATTTAACTTACACTTTTGGAAACTCTATGCCATGACTGATTTGGCCCCCTTACATTTAGGGCTGTGGTCTGGCAGTGTATCATGGAGGAGGAGGATATGACAGTAAAACCACTCAACTCCTGGCCAAGAAGCCAAGCAGAAACAGGAAGACAGACATCACGGTCTCATATTCCCCTTCAGGGGCACATTGCCAAAGACCCAAAGACCTTCAACCAGATCCCATCACCATGAGGTTTCACCATCTTCTATGTGAGTCTGCTTCCCTTTACTGTATCCAAATGCTCGAGTGACTCTTTATAAATGGAAAGGTTTATCTTGGCTCACAGCTGGGAGATTTTGGTCCCAGGCTTGGTGGGTCTATTGCTTATGGCAAGACAACATGTAATGATAGGCATGTCTATGGCAGAACAGTATGTAATGATGGGCAGGTCTGTGGCAGGAAAAGTATAGCTGGGGAAAACCTTCCCTCTCTGCATAGTTCGTGAGAGAGGATGGAGTAGAACTCTATAACCCTCTTTGAAGAGATCCCCAATATCATAAACCTCTTACTTGGTCCTACCTCTTAAAGTTTTCATCACTCCCCAAGGGCACACTATGCTAGAACCCTCATCTTTAAACATGAGCCCTTGGGAGACACCCTAGATGCCAACATAGCCCCTCCCAATATTGCCACACTTCAACACAGATAGGGCTGTTCCAATCTGTTGTTGGTAATTCCTTAACTGAGGTTCCCTCTTCCTAGGTGTGTCAAGTTAACCACCAAGATCCGCCATCCCTGGGATCTTGGAGGAACATTTCAGGTCCAAACTGTAGCAGCGCCTCACTTTTCTACACAGATCTGAATACATCTACCTCCCATGTGAACGGAGTTGACTGTTTTTATCTCTCTTCTTGAGTATGTCTCACTCTCTTTGATCTGTGTTTGGAACCCAGTGAAGCAGGAGCAGGAAAAGGAAAGATCTTGTCTCTGCTCCTCACATCAGCCAATGCTTAGCCCATCTTGCTTGTTGGGAGAATTAAATGGGAGTCCAAAAGCACACCACTAGAGCCAATTAGTACTGTTATTCTCAACCCTTCCTTGGGAATCAAGCTGGCTCATCCCAGCATCTCAGCCCAAGGCCAAGAGACAGCTGAGGCCCCCAACATCCTGTGTTCATTTGCTCATGCCTGCATGAATTGCTCAAGCCCACAGGCCACGCAAGACTGCGTCTTTGAGAAATGACCTGGCATCCACACCAGGGCCAGCTAAATCTCCTGAGGCCAAATTCAATTCTGTCCAAATAAAAAATGATTCCCGTTGGCCTCATCCATCCCTGTGGTCTTGTACTATCATGCTTTTGATGTAACATTTCCTCCAGCAATGTAGTCAGTTTCCGTTGGGAAATGTCCAACTTAGTCTTCTGTGTCTGACCGGGGGAGGAAAAATAACTTGAGAGTCAATTGCCTTTGGGAGGTCAGACACAGTGGAAAGAAATCCTCTGGCTGGAGTTACAGTGTGTGTGTGTGTCCCCTCCTCCCTGCAGGTCAGCCTGGGAAAGAAGGCATGGAATGAAGACCCAGAGATGGTGGACCACAGGGCACTATCAGTCCTTTGGGACTTAGTCTCCAGATATTTTCCAAACTTTCAAAAATTTGACTTTCCTTCAGTTAAAGGAGAAGAATGGAGTCAAAGTTGCTGTTTGATTTGAGGCTGGACATTCCTTTCCTAGGAATCCAGGGAAAACTCACCTGCCCATCTCTTTGGTAGCTGCCAGTTAGCTAGCTCTCTGGAGGCCTGGGCAGCCTATGGAGCCTCTATTGGTGGAACCAGTCCCAATGGACTTTGGGAGCCCATACCCCATGGAGGGATACTCCCTCAGTCTAGATGGGGGGTGGGGCAAGGGACCTAGGCCCTGCCCCAAATGACGTGACAGACTTACTTTGATGATCCCCCATAGAAGGCCTCATTCTCCCTGGGAAGTGGATAAAGGGTAGGATGGGGGGGTTCATAGGGGCCAAGGGAGGATGGAGGGAGAGGGAACTGGGATTGATATGTAAAATAAGACTTTCTAATTTAAATAAAAAAAAAGAGCCAGGAATGTTCAATCCCTGCCTTTGCCTACTCAGGCTACACAGTAAAAGTGGACCTGGTGTGGATAAGCCGCTCCTAGCATTGAGAGTGTTAGGCACCAAGGGAACCTGGAACAAACTGCTAACTGAGGTGCCTACTAACATATCAAAGTGGGGAGCTGGGTGTAGTAGCACTTGCCTTTAATCCCAGCATTCAGGAGGCAGAGGCAGACAGATCTGAGTTCTAGGCCAGCCTGGTCTGCTGAGTGAGTTCCAGGACAGACAGAGCTATGCAAGCCCTGTCTCTAAACAAACAAAACAAAAACCAAGCAATAACAACTACAAAACCAAAACAAAGACATCAAAGCAGACGCTGGCTGCCAGGCTCTCTCAGTTGCACGTACCTGTCACAGAGTCCTGGCTTCTCTTGCCACTTCTCACACACACTCCACACCCCCTGATCCCCACACTAAACTTCTCCAGCCCTGAGCTTTGCTTCCTTCCCCAGCTTCTGATTCCTATATAACCCAGCCCCTTTACCCCTTCTCCACCCTGCTGCAGCCTGGTCTGTTCTGCTGGCCACGTTCAGCCTGGAGTCTTCCAGATGCCGCTGCTGTTCTCTCTTTGAAATGTCTCCTCCTTTCTGACCTGAGGACTGGGACTGTCTCCTCCCCTGAATCCTGCAGACCTGTAGCTACACTGTCCTTTACTGACCCTGAGGCCACCTCCTTGGACTGCATTCCAGCTCCAGGGGCCATGACCTCCTATCCAGAACGCTCATTCCTAGTACTCACCATAGCTGGCTGTCCTCTGGCATACGGGTCAACCACCCAACAGGCTATTGTCATTAAACCTTGCTTCTTTGACAACAGTTCTTAGCAGTCCTAGTTCTGGAATGTACTTGTGGCTGGGTGTTGCTCTCCAGTTAATCCTTATTGCTCATGGAGCCCTTGGCAAGAGTACAAATGGAGGTTCGCACCCTAGTGTGTAAGCTCTTAAAAGCGATAAATTAGGCTGACACATTCTTAGTTAAAACGTATTCCATATTCCTGCCTTGACAAATACACCTTAGTAGTAACAAAGTAGAAAAATGTGTGTAAATCTGTGCTTTTCAGGCTGCAAGTCAGTAAATTATCAAAGATGATTGAATTCAATTTTACATGTTGTATTTAAGCACTGTATGTGGGTCATATGTGATAAATTATTATCACAGAAAGTGTAACATACTTAATTTCATTATGTAATTCACCATCATTCATAATGTGAGTTTTTTTTTACCATTCCTTCAAGCCACATTTACATTCATATAAAAATGTCTCCAGATCATTCTTTTTAAATTTCAACAATGAACTATTATGTATATATATAATTATGTATATATATCAGCAAATGATAGTTAACTACTAAATTATTCAAATCTCTCTTTAATCAAGATTGCACTTCAATCTATAGTCTCCATAGAAATTATTTTAAGGGTTGGGGATGTCGTTTAGTTGGTAGAGTGCTTAGCTGGAATCAACCAGTTGACCTGCACCCCAGGTCAACTTTAGTTTCCCTGCTTAGCTTGAAGCAATCAGTACCCCATCCTGTCTAACAGAGGAAGGTAGAAGGGAAAGGAAAGAGTGTGTGTGTTCATGTGTGCGTACATATAAGTGGAGATCAGAGGCCAGTGTCTCCATCTTGTGTTTTGAGACAGAGCCCTTCACTTAACCTGGAACTCACTGATTGGCTTAACTAGATGCCAGAAAGACTAAGGGAATCCTCCTGTCTCCTCTTCCCCAGCACTGGGATTACAGGAACCTGCTACCACACTTGGCTTTTTATATAGGTGCTGGGGATCTGAACTCAGGTCTTCTTGCTTGCAGAGTCAGCTCTGTACCAAGTGAGTGAACTTTCCAGTCCCAGAATGTCTTTTATATAGAGATATGTACGAATTTTTTTTTTTCAAGACAGGGTTTCTTCGTGAAACAGCCTTGGCTGTCCTGGAACTCTCTCTGAAGATCGGGCTGGTCTCAAATTCACAGAGATCTACCTGTCTCTCCCTCCCCAGTGCTGGGATTAAAGGTGTGTGCCAACACCACCCCATCTGTGTATGGATTTTTTTTCTGTGTATGGATTTTTAAATTTATTCTACAAGTATTTAAACTATGGAACAGAGATCAGAGTCTCTAGGTATACAAACAAGTAGGAAAGTGGTGCTGATGATCAAGGGACTAAACAGACAATATAAATGGACCCAGCAATGATGCCATTATTGGAATAATAAAACACAGGCTCTAAATAACTATAATTAATTAAAATGATCAAAGAAAATATGGACAAATGATTAAAATAAATACCTTTAACAGAGAACTGAAATTCATGAAAAGAATTCAAATGACCTGAGGACTACAGAGAATACAAGTTTGGCAGGATTCTTTTACAGAAGGGTAATAGGCAATAAATATAATTAACTTGTGCATAATTTCTCCTAGCCCCAACCCTATGTATTGAAATTAGCAAGGACAAGGATAGAGCTCAGTGATAGAGCACTTGCCTAGCATGTGCAAAGCTTGTAGTCAACCCCCAGTGTGATGAATGGAAGAAGGAAGGACGGAGGGAGGGAGGAAGAGGGGGAAGAGAAAGAAAGAACGAACAAATGAATCCACTAGCTTTTCTGGGATGGAGGTGTATGTCCACACCCTAGCACTTAGGAGGTGGAAGCAGGAGTGTCAGTTCAATGTCCTCTTTGGTTACTTAGAGAGTTTGAGGACTGGTGAGAGTCAGGCTGGTCCAAGGCTTTCCCTGAGGCTCTGATGTATGGAGAAGAAACACAGGAACATACTTGACAAGGCCAGCGATGGCCTGGGTCCAGGGCCTCGGGGGAGCTGTGACTTCAGGTCCTGTTAACCCAACTCTTCTCCCCAAAGGGTTGTAGTTCTCAGTCTCACACACACACACACATACACACACACACACACACACACACACACAAAATGTAAAAATAAAATTTTAAAACAACAACAATAATAATAACAATAATAAATAATGTATAGCTGACCTCTTGCTATAGGCAAATCTATTAATTAGCAAACATGGATACTTTATGTTTCATTATAGAAATTTTTTTTTTACTTTGTTTGCATTGGTGTTTTGGTGTGAGGGTGTTGGATCCTGGAGTTACAGACAGTTGTGAGCTGCCATGGGGGCGCTGGGAATTGAACCCAGGTCCTCTGGAAGAGCAGTCAGTGCTCTTAACTTATGACTCGTCTCTTCAGCCCCTCATCATAAAAGTTTTTGAATTTTTAAAGACAGGAATCATTAGCATTCAATACTGACAGAAACAACAACACACTTTTTTTTAAGTCTCATATTTTATTAGTCTCAGCAACCAGCAGTCTGAGTGGTCTGAGAGCTTCCTCAGTTGTGTGGTAGGCTGCCAGCATTCTGTCCTGGAGTGTTAGAGAAAAACCAGATCTAGAATAGGCTTACTTAACATTCAACTCAAAGAATAGTCAACGTTTCATAGGCCAGGAGCAGTCATAACAGGACACTAACTGTAAAACTTCAGCTAACGGGAAAAAAATCAATAAGATTAGAAAAAGTACAAAGTCTAATATTGCACTTAGTTCTGTTTTTTTTGGGGGGGTTAGATTGCCAAGGTTTTCTGGGAAATTAAATCATAGCAAAAGGCTGGAACACACATGGAAAAAAGTGCAGCATCTAGAAGTAAGAGTCTCACAGCTCCACCATGTCCCTAGGGAGCCCTTTGCAAGGCTTTCCCCATCACAAGTCCAGTTTTCTCAAGCTGCAGGAGAGGTAGCAGTCATCAGGCCTCTCAAATAGTGCTTGGATACATCAGGGTGTCTACTGGGGATAACCCTGACAGTTCAGTTGGGACTAATGTCTGAAGGTCAAATGTTCATTATCCTGAAGATCTCCTTTTTAATTTTTAATTTTCTGGAAGATTTGTTACTACAGTAATGTAAGAATAAAATGCATGATGACAAGGTATTGAATATGACAGCTAAGCCCTGGTTACAGGCTCAGGACAGACATGAGATTATACATCAGGATACTGAAATGGGAATCTGGGTAGGGAAGATGTATTTACATTTATATATATTTTTTCCCCCAAGCGAAACAGAGACAATGGAATGTAAAAAAAAAAAAAAGGAGAAAGTAATTATCAGCACAAATGTCAGAAGTGGAGAAGGTTGAGATTTTGCGCTGTAATTTATCTTGTGCATTATGAATTTTAACTAAAACAAAAGGCTGTGCCAAAAAAATATCTTCCTCCAGCCAATTCAGGGGAACGGACACTCTGCAAAGTCTATTGTCAATACAAGATGAGACAGGTTTATACAAACTGGGCCACCAGATTATTCTTCTCTAACAGGAGTGTCTATGGATTTCCATGAGAAGAAAAGAGAATAGTTTTTAAAGGAGGGTCCAGGGTTGGATGTGTTGTTCAGTGGTGGTATTCT